CGCTCCACAAAATATATGTTTTTTGAAATCAAAAGGTCCCGCTGGATCGAATGGTGTACAAATATGCATACGTTATCGGGCAAACTTGAGGGTACGGTAGGCTCGAAGATGGCAAACCGTATATCATTGAGAAAATAGCTATATCTGTTCATCTAATCACAATTGCTCGGCAAAATATATGATACTCTGAAAGTAGAGATTCTGAGCAATCGAATGGTGCAAAGAAATTCACATGTTACCGGGCAAACCTGAGAGTATCGGTTCCTTGAAGATCGTAAAGCCCATAGCGCTATATTAATATAAACAATTGATCTATAGTGATATAGTATGTCAGTGAGTGCCTCTGAGCTAATTGAGATGGCTTTAGAAAAATAGCTATATCTCCTCAAGTAAGCAGAATTGCTCAACGAAATATATGTTTTTCTGAATTTAGAGGTTCTCAGGAGTCGAATGGTATAGAGGAATTCATCTGTTACCGGACAAACCTGAGGGTACCCATAGCTTGAAAATGGTGACCCCTAATGTGCTTTAGTAGTTTAGGCATTGGTCTATAGTGATACAATGCATATGAAAGAGCGCGACTGCGCTACTTGAGACAGATTTAAGAAAATGGCAATACCTCCTCTAGTAAGAAGAATTGCTCAACGAAATATATGTTTTTCTGAATTTAAAAATTCCCAGGAGTCGAATGGTGTAGAGAAATTCATATGTTATCGGGCGAACCTGAGAGTACGGTAGGCTTGAATATGGTAACCCTTATAGGTTTGAGAAAACAGCTATTTCTCCTCATGTAAACAGAATTGCTCGGCAAGGTATAAGATATTCTGAACCTGGAGGTCCTGAGGGATCAAATGGTGTAGAGAAATTCATCTGTTGCTTAGCAAACCTGAGAATAACGTTAGCTTGAAAATGGTAGTTCTGTATTACATAGTGAACATGATTTGGCAGATCCCCAGTTTCGACAACATTCGTTAGGAATATTCAGTGGTTAACTTGTGGAAATTGCCCCATTCTAAAGCCGTCATTTACATCATTGGAGATGATCCATCCTGATAATTCTGCTTCGTTCTAAGCCTGAATCTTCCTTCTGCTTGTGCTGTGACAGTAAGAAGATCGTGTTAGGCCCGAATGAGCTAATGCTACTCAGAAAATAGGAGAATGGAGAGTGTTGCCATCAACTAACCGCATTTGCAAACCAGAGTTAAAAACACCATCACAATGACGTTCTATCATAACATAAAAACTGCACGAAATACTAATTTCCCGACTTCCTTCATTACCCCTTGACGCCTCCAAATTACCCAAAACGGATAATTTCACCCCCNCTGGTTGCGAACGGGAATTTTGTGGTGTTTGATTTGCAATTATTGACAGTGAGCTTAGAGAAATTGTTTCAGTGGGTTCATTTGTTGATTGAGGAAAATTCGAAAAATTGTTGCATTGGGAGATCAACCTGACATTGAATGATTTCATAGGTTCCACAAAGGTCAATATGAAATCGTCACAATATTTGAGCAACTCTGATACCGAGTTAAGTTTCACATTCATGACTTCATGTGCAAATGGGAACATCGATGAACGAGCAATCATAATAAACTATTTTATGCAGCCTTATAAGATTAACACGCAGCCAACAGGCACTTATTGAAACAATACGACAGCATTTGTGACGCAAAATGAACAATTGAGGCTAGCGAGAAGGCTTTGCATTGCAATGCTTTGAAGAGACATTATCAAATCAATTGATAACAATTATCACATTTAGTCGATTATGAGTTTCAGTTTTCGTACTTATCAAAACATCACTATTAACGTTGACTTGATAAAATATCGAACATTAAATTTCACTACTTCATAAGAGATTTTTATGATGAAATCAAGCATTTACACTCGTTATTCCAATGTTTCAGACTGATTAAGTAATGAACATTCAAATTACACACATGACATCGTTGCTGGCAAGATACTGAACAACAATTTTACTAAATTTTTGATTACATCACTTTGACGACTGTCCGATTAGGAATTTATTTTGAGATTCTAAGCATATCTTCCGCTTAACCGATATGCATCAATTAATTAGTGAAATGATCGGTTGAATTAGAAGGATGATATAAGAGCTGTGTATAGGTGGGATAGTGTGAAGGAGGCTTAGAGGGTACGTATTTCAACTCGGGCAGTGACGATGGTGTATATTTCAGTTCGGTCACTGACGACGAATTGACCGAATTCGAAGGCGTCGTTCCAAGTTCTGAGAAGATTTCTGTCTGAAAGTTTGAACGTGAATAGAATAAATAATGAAGTGCGATTAGAAATTGTTAAATGATTCAAACAGAGCTGACAAACAATCGCCACAATAACTGCAAAGTTAGTCCGATAGGATAACTCGATAGATATAAAATAAAACAATCCATAATCAAACCACAATTGAGTGGTTTATTCACCTGCTCAGAAGCTAAACTACGCAGATCGGTAAGTTTCATCAGAAGACGAGCAAACATTGTCCGTTGTTTAGGACGTCGAAAGTCGATATAGGATTGAAGTGCAGATGTGTAGACTTCTTGAATATCTTCCACTGCTTTTGGTTGTTGTAAACCCGTTCGATCTTAATTTCAAATCATTTAAACATTTCGTTGTCACCTTTCAACATTCCATCATTTGAATCGGGCAAATATCAGAGAGAACAGTGATCAGCTGAGATGCTCACTTCATTTAATTGGTTAAATTGAGTTAACTGAGCATTTGAGTGTGTCTTGACACAACGAATGAATTTATCATCGGATACCTGAGCATCATCGATATTGACGTGAACAGATCAACTTGACTCAATCACTTTTGAATAGCAACTTGTTCCGAATGAGTTCAATGCTGATCATTAAAAAGAATACCACTCAATAAGGAATTAAACAGAAGATAGAACCTGAGAATATAGCAATGGCAGAGAGTAGAACGAATTCGGCTTGATCCAAGTTAAGTTTGGCCAAGGAATGCGCGAAATCGAAAATTGAATCAGCTAACGGACCAATGAAGGCTCGGTACTGCTCTCGATCATATCGCCATTGACGACTCTCGTTACCTAATACCACTCGTTCCTCGCACACATCGTAACTACGTGCTGTACGCAGCATTAACACTTCCGTTTTACAAGTCTATAAAAGTTCCTATATCATACTCACATATTGACTGGTATTATAGAGTTCAGAACCAGAAAAATTCACTGATGATACAACTGGAATGGTTGAAAATAGAGAAAACAAAATGTTGAAGACGTACTTTATGCAATATTCGTTTATCATCATCGGCAAGTTTACAGAATCCTGGTAGATGGGCAGTGAACTGATGGATCAGTTGTACGCTCAGAATCGTTAACTCGGCGAGATGTTGAAAGGAACTAGTCTTCGTCTCACTATATTCCTAAAAGGTGTTATTGCGAATTTGTACTTTTCATGTGAAATTTAAGCAACAATTTTGATGACGACAGTTTTAACGAGATAATAATTAAAATTTTTGAAATATGGGAAGAGAAGGAATAAATTCTCGAATGATTAAAGTAATAACCGAAAAAATAACTGAACAATGGACATAATCAATAAGTAAGCAGTAAGTAGCAAAAAACTGACCGATAATTGAATGAGAGAATCATTTGATGGGACTGCAAACTGACTATCAATGGTGACAATTCTAGCAATCAGCTCACGTGTCTCCAATGATAATGCAGTACCGTATTCAGATTGTTCAGTTGAAGTGACTAGATTTGGACTTGTTACATTGCGTTGATGTTGTTGTATTGCGGAGTTGTTATCATTACTGCTGTCCGATTTAACTGCCGTCGCTGTTGTTAATGAAGAGGTTGCTGTGGACGATCGCATCTTCTGTTTTGCTTCTCGTTTGATACGACACTGCTCTTCGGGTATCACAACTAAAGGCACTCGCGGATCAACTCGAAGTCCTGAAGGTCGTGCACACATGCAGAAGATGTGTGTCGGTGCGCATGTCTGTGAGAATCTGAGGTGCTTGTGGTTGTTTTGGGAGTGTGTGGGTGAAGGTGTCTGTGCTTATTTTAGGACGTTTGTAGACGTCTGAGGGTGTTGGTTTGTCTGAGATTATCTGCGCAGGTCTATGCTTGCTTTTGCACAATTAACTCCATGTAATGCTGATTGTGAGATTCGTTCGGCTTGTTTTGAATGCAGTTTGAGCGTATTTACAGTGCATGCACATATCGTAAAACGCAAAAAAGTTAGATATTTTCAAATAATTACATTAGAATGAAATTAAGTTGCAAATTTGTCCAAACGACTCGTTAGCTGACGTTTTTCCAATGATAATGCAGTTCAAAACAACTACTTCAAGACTATTTCAGAAAATGCGCCTCTGGTTTTACACCCAAAGAAGTATGTTACATGGATCTGCCAAGGGAAAATGGAAGGAATAATCAAGATGTTTTTTGGATATTTTTTTAATTATATAAAAACAGAT